GACGGTGTAAGGTGTCCTCGAGTCGTCGTTGCTGTTCCTTATAGAACGGAATAACCGCGATCGAAGAAGCGTCTATGCCTTTTGATAAGAGGGCACATACAATTTCTTCGCAACAACGAGCTTCCGCCGGATTGTAATGAGACTGCGAAGGGGAGACTCGTGAATGACCCCGGATGTCAACGAAAATAAAGGGAACGTCCGGATTTGGCAGAGTGAGGCGACGCGTAAATAGCTGACGTTGTCGGGCTGTTGATCCGCTGACTAGGGTTCCTCCATAGACGACTGAATTGGGCAAGCTGTTAAGAGCAGGGTGTGCTCGGAAGGACGTTACTAAAGGTGCGAGAGGAAGGTCTTTCTGCATGAGAAGTGTCATAAGTCCTTTGCCACCGAAACGAGCCGCTACGGAAGTACGAGGACAGCGAACGTGGGGCTCCAGCTGGTTGACGTCTCCGATGTAAATGTGGCGTGCGTTGGTAAAACGAGCCGCCAGGGCCACGAATGCGGGTTCAGGTATTTGAGACGCCTCGTCCCCGATAATGACGTCAGCTTCTGAGAATACCAGTGGAAAAAGGCCACCCGCGCGAGTCGTGTTCAATAGTGACGATGTTGTCATACACACTATGTCGGGAAATCGCACGCGAAGCATGATTTTCACGGCTTCCTCCGTATCTTCGGAATTGTGATTCTCCGCGATTCGATACTGTTCACGTTCTTCTTCCGACAGGTGGAGCGTCGCATCGGGGTCAAATAGCAAGCGTTCGACCAGGGTCCGGCCGCGAACGTAGTCCACAAGAAGCGGGCGCTCCGATCGTGTAAGCGCGTCAGAAAAATTGACCATTAGGCCCTGGAGTATCTGATGAAGGTCTACTGGAGTAGATGGTGCTCCCTCTCGAAGTGCTGAATCGGCGACGAACCGAAGGACCTTCAGTTGCTTATACTCGTCGAGCCTCAGAAGCGTCTCGGTGAATTGTGCAACGGCTACGTTGGTTGTCGATGTCATGAGGACCAACTTGCCCTGCTCTGCGAGGCGGGCAGCGATGAGCGCTCCTACTACCGTTTTCCCAGTACCGAAGGCCGCCTGGATAGCCAAGACTGGATGGTTGCCGAGGCCCATTTGCACGGCGCGAGATTGGTCGTCGCGTAGACGAAGGTTAATAGAATCCAAGGTGATGTTAGTTGGAGGGGCTTGGCCTTGCGCCTGAGCATCTGGCGGGCGCGGACGGCTGGCATATACTAGGTCGAGGACGGTGTTTGCTCTTGATGGGATGTTGGGGTTCCTGATGTTGTTGGAAAATGTGCCCTCTGCTAGCAGGTTGAAAACGGGATCTGTGCCAGTTGGCGCCCGAGCTAGGCGAACACACAGTGGTACGAAAGCCTCATTGGCATTCAAACGTCCTGCCCCATGACGACGGATTTCTCTGAGGAGTGACTGATGATGATGGGGTTCGGAGTGTGGCTCGATGGCGAGGGTCTGGCGTTCAGGGCGATGTGTTGCTTCCGCTATTCTGTTCCGTAGAAGAATAGTGGAATTGATCACCCAAGTGTGAACTGTTCTAGATCTTGTCCATCCTCCTT